CCTCCCGCCGGCGCGGCCGCCTGGTGGCCGCCGCGGCGATCCTGGACGGCCATCACGGCTCGGCGGCGCCGGCCCCCGCGCGCCATGCGGGCGACGGCGGGGGCGGCATGGCGGCCGAGAGCGGCGCCGCCAGCGGCCGCGGCGGCCACGCGTGCGCCCACTGCGGGTGCCGAGAGAATGAAGCATGGTGGACATGGTGCTGCCACTGCTGGCACCCGCTGCAGCTGGTGCCTGCGCGGGTTGCTGCTGCTCGCGGCGCTGCTGGCCGCCGCCGATCCACGAGCAGGGATCGCAGCGGCGCCCGCGAGCCGCCCTGGCGCCAGGACGCCGTCGGCGGGCGCGGCGGAGCGCCGCGCGGGCGGCCAGCCGCTCTGGTCGCAGAAGCGGCAGACCGCCAGCGCAGCGGCAGCCAGGGAGTCCGCATCGTGGACGTGGCCCAGGCCCTGGAGCCCGACGCGGACCCTGAGGAGGGGTCCAGCTGGCCCAGCTGGTGGAGCTCCTCCGCTTGTCGGGAGACGAGCCAGCAGAGGCCAAGCACAGGCAGCAGCTGGACGCCCTCCGCGCCCAGCGCCTGTCCAGGCCCCTCTCTGTTGCCGAGGCGGGCGCTGCCAGGGACGCTGCCGCGGCGGCCCTGGACGAGGCCCTGGCGGAGGCGGGGGAGCTCCAGCTGCGCCTGGGCCAGGCCGCGGAGCGCGTGTCCAAGTGCACCGCCGCCCTGGACAACGCGCAGGCAGGGCTCTTCGGCCTGGAGCCCCTGGAGGACTACGAAGTCGAGGAGAGCGACCGCCAGGAGGCCCAGCGGCGCCGCGAGGAGCTGCAGTCGCGGTTCGCGGCCATGCCTCCAGTTCAAAGCCGAAGCCGAGACGCTGGAGAAGGCGCACCGTGAGCTGCGGTGCGGGAGCGCCTCAAGTCCAAGAAGGCGCACCTCGCCCCCCCCCCCCCCCCCCCCGCGGCAGGAGGCGGCACCTGCCGCGGGCCAGCCAGCGGCGGAGGGAGCGGCAGCGGCCGCGGCTGCAGCAGCGCCCCCCGCCGCGGCGCTTCCTACCGCCGCCGCTGCCCCTGGTGGCCAGCAGGAGGCCCCCGCCCGAGCCTCGCAGGCGGCTCCACCCGCTGCTCCTGCTGCCGCTGCAGGGGCCGCAGGCGCGGGGGCCGTGGCGGCGGAGGTGCTGGAGGCGGGCCGCCAGCGCCTGGCTGCCGCCGCGGCCAGCAAGGCTGCGGCTGGCAAGCGGCGCGCGCCCAAGGGCGGCCGCGGCGGCGCGGCCGGCAAGGCGGCGGCGGCCCCCGTGGGCGACGACGAGGACCAGTCGAGCCTTTGACACAGGCCCAACAACGGCGGGCCGAAGCTCCGACGGTTTTGAGGCGGCCCTCGAGCGCAGCGCCCAGCGGCACAGGCACACACGGCGGGGGCGCCTGCGCGGGCGGGGCGCAGTGCGCAAATCGTGGCCACATCCCGCAGGCCCTGGACTACATGTACTCGACTGGGGAGTACGAGTTCATGACGGATGGCTTCGAATGCGGCGCAGGCCCCGCCTGCGACGGACACCATCGGCAAGTGGCAGAGGCTAACCTGGCGCTGTGCGGACAGCGACTACGTCTACGGCGACGTCTTCATCTACGAAGACACCCGCGAGCATAACCGCCTCCAGCTCGAGAGATGGGACGCCGCCACTGGACAGGCCCCCTCCCCTCGCGGCTTGCCCCCCCGCGGCGCCGCCCCCAATCTCGACGGCGGGGGTTGCCGACGATGCGGGCGCGGGCCATGCGCTTCGACTTCAGGGGCGACGCGTGGCTTGTTCAGCTCTACGTCGGGCACCGCCAGGACTGGCCCCTCTCGCGCGCGAGCTGCCTCGGCCAGAGGCGCGGGGGGCACGTGGCGTCGGTGGCGGCCGAGCCGAGGGTCGACCCGTGAGGATCGGGGGCCATGGCGGGCGCTCCGAAAGGAACTCGCGAAGCCCCCGCCCCGAAGCGGCTCTCACCGAGGCGAGGTCGTCGGAGGCGCGCGATGAGCTTGCCCCCCCCACCTCGCGACCGCCGTCGGCCATAGGTTCGCGGTGCACGTGGCGCTGCGTGCTGGGGCGGCGCTGGAGGTGCTGCTGGTGAGCGACCCTACCGCGTGCACGACGACTACGGGCACGCATCAAGAGGCTTGCCTCCTGGCGCGACGTGGTGCCCTACGGCGAGGACCGTTCGCCGTCAGCCTCGACACGGACTGGTTCCTCCACCCCGCGCTGCTCCCCAACCAGAGGCACGCGATGGCCCTGGCGCAGTTGGCGAGCACGGCGCTGGCGCTGGCTGAATGGCCGGGGCGCGGCCCCGCGGCACGCGGGCCCCCCGCCGCGGCGAGCGCGACCCCCCGCATGTCCGACGGGCCCGCTTGAACCAGGGGCGGCGCACCCAGCTCTTTCCATTCGCATCGAAGAAAAGGCGGTCGAAGCTCAACCTGCCGCGGCCGCGTCGAGCTCCTGGGGGAATCGGGGCCTGGCCTCTGGCGAGCCCCCCCGGCGCGGGTCGCGCGCGCGGGCAAGCGCAACGCGCGGGGAAGGGCCCTGCGCCCGCGCCGCCAGCAAGCGTGGCCCTGCATCGAGTACTGTGAAATACTCAAGTTTGGAAATCGAAATCGGAGGCACCCTGTCGGGCGCATGGAAGCGCCAGGTTGGTCCGCGCCCCGCGGCCCAATTGCCCTGAACTCCGCCTGAGCTGAGGGCGCGGGGGCCGCGCCGGTTGCCTCGCCCAGCTGGCGCGCGGGCCTCCTGCAGTCCTGCGACGTGGGTGCCATCGTCGAGCAAATGGTTCTTGACCCAGCTGCCCCCGTTGAGTCCTCCTGTAGGCCTGCGCCGATGTCCAGTCGGGATGCCCTCGCGCAGTTGGCCCTGCAATGAGCAGGCGCTGAACGTGGCGATCTCAAAGCCAACTCGCGCCCTCCTTGTTCACCTCGATCACCTCGTCCGTCTTCGCGTGGGCAGGGACTGTCAGCGCGGGGGGCGGCCTCTGGAAGTGAAGGCCGGCGTCGCTGACCAGCTCTACTCCTTTGACGCCTCGCAATGCAAAGCGGTGGTCCACCCGACGAGAAGGTCGCGCCCGCGCCCTGTCATTGCCTCCTTCGCCAGCGACTCGCAGACCTCATCCAGAGGGTGCCCGACGTGGGCAGGCGCCCATTGAAGCTGCGCCGAGTGCGCCTGCTGCAATTGCTGGTAGTAGAGAGCCCGTAAACTTCGCCCGGCGCGAACTGCTGAAAGTCCCCAGCGCTCGCCCGCATTGCCACCTGCGCATCAAACCAGACAGTGTAAGCCCCATCAGCTGGCTGCTGAAGGATCGAAAACGTGGCCCTGGCCCAGGGCCAATGCAGTTTTCTCTATGTCCAGGCAGCCGACGTGCCGTCCAACGACGAGTCATCGAAGGACGGGTGCAAGGCCGCCGATGGCGCGCCCTGCACACCTATCATGTCGCCATCACAACACAGAATTGCCGTAGCCCGCGCAGCCCTGGAGTCGTCGGTGGGGTCGTAGCTGCCATCCGTAAAGATGTGTTGCGTCTTGGTGATATACTCGAATGGTGGTGCCAGCTGAAGCCAAACCGTGCCATCTTATGGAACTTCTCGCAAGGATAACCTTAATAGGGAACCACCAGTGAAATCGAGCTGCTTGTTAATTCAGATTTGATACTACTCCAGGTCGAACGTGGCGCCCTATTGGCGCAGTCATGCCAACGAACGATGCCGAAACTCACCTTCCTTTCCCTCCTTGGCGGCGTGGATTGCTGAACGCCGGTCGGCTAAGATGGCGCACTGGTATTGACAGCAAAACGCATTGACATGAAAGGGACGAACTCTTCCTATCGGGTACTGCGTTGCGAACGCCCTCTTCGAGGTGCAGTTCCCCCCTCATCCAGGTCGACCTCCTCGGTGACATTCGGCTGATGTGTTCCTTTGCCAGTTGTTCTCGGTGTCCTGGGACTCGCGCGCTTGCCACTGCGAGGGGGCTTGCCTCCAGTTCCCCCCACCGGTGCACGTGCACCCTGAACGGCACATGCTGCTGGCGGTGGTGATGGCTCTCCTTGGGCCTGGGCCCCCTGTGACGCAGGGATGTGGTGATGGCTCTCTTTGGGCCTCGGCCCCCTGCGACGCAGGGATCAAGAGCAACACCGCCGACGACAACTGCGCGAACCAGTCCTGAATCTGGGACTGCGCCTCCCTCTGCATTCGAACCATTTCCTCGAAGTGCTGCACTTTCTGGGAGTCGCCTCCGTCCGTTGCCCTGTCCGATTGCGCACGAGATCACGGTGAGGATCTGCGCTGCGGGGGAGAAGAGGCCATGCGCAGGCCATCTGCTCGCGAAGGCCGCCCTCGTCCATCTGATCAGAATCCTCCTCGTCCTTCGCGTCCCCCTCGTTGGCTAGCTCTGCCTGCACCCCGCTCAGCCTGGTCTCCGCCATCTGTAGCCTTTGCTTCTGGTTCCTCCTCCTCCTCCTCCGCCTCCTCCTCCTCCCCGTCCTCCTCCCCGTCCTCCTCCTCCTCCTCCTCCTCCTCCTCCTCCTCCTCCTCCCCCATTCTACCTCCACCTCCCAGGAGGGGGGGAAGGAGGATGAGGATGAGGATGAGGATGAGGATGAGGATGAGGATGAGGATGAGGATGAGGAGGAGGAGGAGGAGGAGGAGGAGGAGGAGGAGGAGGAGGAGGAGGAGGAGGAGGAGGAGGGAGGAGGGAGGAGGGAGGAGGGAGGAGGGAGGAGGGAGGAGGGAGGAGGGAGGGATGAGGAGGGAGGTTGAGGGTGGAGGCGGAAGGGGGAGGGAAGTGAGGAACATGGAATCTGAGGGAAAGAGAGGGAGGTGGCGGCCCGGGGGAGTCGGGGGGGGGGGCAGCACGGAGGACGGGGAGGAGAGAGCACGAGAGGCAGGGAGGGTGACGAGGAGGAGCAGGAAGGAGGAGGAGAGGAGCGACGAGGAGGAGGGGAGGAAGGAAGGCGAGGAGGAACGGAGGGAGGGCGACGGGGGGCCCCGGCTCGCGCCTCGAAGCTGACGAAGCCGTCGGTGGGCGCCCTGCGGCTGCCCTTGGCGGAGTCGACGGCCGCGGAGATCCTGCGCGCGGCGGGGGGGAGGCTGGGCACAGGGCGGGGGAGGAGGGTGGACGAGGGGGAGGAGGGCGGAGGGCAGAGGAGGGGGACGGGGCAGGAATGGGCACGGGAATGGGGTCCATGGCGCAGCCGTGTGACCATAGACACGCGTGCCCTGAGCTCGCGGGGTCAGCGGTACGACGTGGGTGGGCACGCGCACGCCCTGGAACACGAACTCCACACGAAGTACCACGGCTGGCAAGACAGCCTCCGAGAACTGAGCGATCATGACATGTGCAACTAGGAAATATGTCAACCCAGACAACGCACACCTGGAAGCCACCACCAAGCAACAGACATTGTGAGATGCCACGGCCCACCTCTTGGAAACAGCAGCATCGACATAAAACTCAGGAAAAGCCCTTCACCTTCTTGGCCGTACCTCATGTTTCTTGGCGCCGCTTTTCCGCACGCGGGATAAGTCTCCAGAGCAACGAGACCAGGTGGATGAGCAAGCCACGCACTGGAAGACGAACTCCACGAAAACGGCCGACGAACGCAATCTGCCAGAACAAAGCGTATGTGAAAGATCACGCCTGGCACAAATCCCGAGCTCTGCGTGCCAATTTGGCAGATCTCTTGTCGGAGCGCCGTTTCCTGTTTGTTTTGGCGCCCAGGGCGCCCTTCTCGGATCCCAATGGGTTCGGCCCTGGTTCTGGCAGTTTGTGGACCAGGTTGTATCCGCAGATCCTCGGAGTTCCAACATTGCTTTGTGTGCCCGTCAGCTGGGTCCATGGCCAGTGTGTGCTCGCAGGGCTGTGTCGTGGTCATTGTTCCGCCTGCTCAGTGTCATTCGTTGTCCAGTGCACACTTCCATCCGTAGCCGATTGGAGCAAATGTTGCATTTCATTGGCCAGAGTAGGGCGCGACAGGACGGGCTTGCTCGAGATGATGGTCGCCAGGTTCGTCCCAGGTTGAGCGGTGCGCCTGACCACGTGGAACCGGCTGGCAGTTCTGTGCCTGGCGTTTTGCTGCGAAGAGCGGCGAGCATTTCAGGTCTCACAGCCGACGTGCGAAGAATTGAATCAGATCTGGCCGTCGAGGGAGCGGTGGGTGGATAATTCGGATTTCCTTGGCATTCCGGCGGCAGAGGCGCAGGACATCTGGTCTGCGCTCAGAGCGATGCCTCTGCGGCTTGCGGAGGCGCTGACAGATCTGTGCGCGTCAGCAGGTGCTTCTGCAGAACCCAAGAGAGCCCAGGATCGGATCGACAAGTCGGATCGGCGATCGACATCAATCGGATCGTCGGAAATCGGCAGTTGAGTCGGGAAAAGTCGGATCGGCAGGAATCGGCAGGCTAGTATGCCTCCAATAAGACATCGGAACTCAAATCGGAATCCCAGATCGAATCGAATCGGAATCGGAAACCATCGAAATCGAATCGAATCGAATCGGAGGAATCGAAACGAGCCCTGAGAACCTGAGCGCGCAAAGCGCGGTGCTGTGGCCCCGGTGCTCCCCGAACCGCCTGTGCTTGGCCATGCGGCAGGAACAAAACTCTCGGGCAATGGCAGCGCGCGCGGCTCTCTCAAGCTTTGTGCCGTGGCCCGGGCATCTGGGGAAAATGCCAGGTCCCGCAGCACTCGCAGATGCCGTCTTGGTTTTGGCCAGAACTGATGGGGATATGTTTCCGTTGCCTTCTTCTTCGCCGAGGCAGGCTGACTCGCAGCCGCCGTGTTGTCGACCTGGAGGCCATGAGCGAGCAGGCCGTGTGGCTCGAATTCTGCGGGCGGCGCGCCAGAGCGCGAGGCTACTCTTCTGCAGTGCGGTTGTACGGCCAGGTGGCCTTGCACACGGCATCTGCTGCGTGGCCGCCGACGACGCCCGCGGTTGACGCATATATATCAGCTTATTCCAGAGTGCGGGAACCTTGGCGCGATTTTTGTCCCACCTCCGCACCGTGCTGCCTTGGATGCGTTTCCCTGCGGGCGCCCTGGCAGACACGGCCCGGTCGCGTTCGTGCCACCGCTGCTGAGACCAAAGCGCTGTCCGCGTGGTGCTCGGCGTTCGGCCTGCCCGACGTGGGGGCGTCCTGGGTCGTGGCGCGTCG